TCTGTAGAAATAAAAGGTTGAAATGTTTACATTTCATTTGTTTGTTTCTCAATTACCATTATTGAACTGCAACTCACTCAGCTGATTGAAATAAATCATATGATTTATGAAAAAAACAATACATTTGTCTGTTTTGTTGTTAATCCCATTGTAAACATGAAGTTTTCTATAAGCAAATCTGTGCCATATTACTTGTTGGTAAAAATAGGAAAATTAAATGCAATCCAAAAACTCATTATTATATGCTTGATCAACGTTTATTTAATTTTCTGAAACAAAAGACTGGCTGCTTCCAAACTCGCAATGGGGATCACGCTAACAAAACAATAAATCATTGTAACAACACCAGTAATCCTGCTTAGAAACAGCTGGATTTAGCAGTCCAGATCCAATGTTCCAGTGTTTCACATGCTCCACGTTTCGCCGTTCCCACTGATATTGCAACCACTAATCATGCTATATTGCAGCTGTCACTATAGCCTGGCTGCAGTTTCTTGATAAATTGTCCGTTACATATCTGCCATTTTAGTGTGTGACTGTAACTTATTGGGGAATTTAATAACTAGTGTAGTTAGTTTTAATTTATGTTGTTTTTAAAGGACGATTAAAACTACATGTCTTCAATAGCTTGATTTTTCGTAAATTAAATATTCAACAAATATTTTAGTTTTAAAAATAATTTATTTTACCCCACTAATTAAAAAAAAAAACTGTATCAGCTAACTGACAGATACTTTCATTGACCCATTGGCTTATCAAGAACCCTAATGGGTGGTGGGAGTTAAAATATTCTATTAGGAAAATCACAAAAAATTAAATCACTTTTGAACCGCAATTTTTACACTTTTACAGGGTTTGGGGTTGTATCATTTTGTTTGGAATTAAAAGGACCATAATATACTTAAACTTTATCAAAATTGGTTGGTTGGTTTTTGTCAAAATCCGTTTTTATTGGGGTTTATAGGTAAATCCCCATTAAGAACAAGAATTATTTAAATAAAAAAAAAACCCTGGATATATCATGAATTGGTACCCAAACCAAATTTAATCAACATTAATCAACACGTGTGGTCGTTTAAGTCAAACTAAAATTTGGGTTTAAAAGAGTCAATTTACGCCCTAGTAATCAAATTTAATATCATTGATAAGGTGGTAAATCAAATCCACTTTTCTAAAGAATCCGCTGATTACAAAGGGGTAATACGTACTACGAAGAATAATTCTAATTATTAGTTATGCAATTCATGTAATGTTTTTGCTGTGTTGGTTAGTACAAAACTAAGTGAAAAACAATATTTATTTATAATTATTTAATGGGAACAGACTCAACCCAGAATTTTTTTTGTAAGATGCATCTAATGGACAGATTAATTATTGGCATAAAATACAGAAAAGAATGTTTACACTGTTAAAACTAATTTGGCCACAAACTTCCTAATAGAAGTGGCAACTGTTATTGTTCTGTTGGCAAACTACCACTTTGGTCATGAATATTGAACTACATTTGTTATAGTATGTCACATTTCCCTGTTATTAACTCAGCAAGTTGGCAGCACTGTAGTGGCACAGCTGACTGTTGATTGAACCTGGTTTATTACCTCTGATTTGTCAATCAATCTGACATCCATTGTTGAAGAGACAATCACTCTATTTCTCCCAATCACTCTTCTACGTTCAACATCAGAGCAATTTACTTGTGTAGGCCTATTATAAGCAATTTATTAAATTTTCTTTCAAGATTTACTGGGATTATGTCTTGGAAATTTGTTGTGATTTTTTAGAGTATCTGAAAAGAAACATCGTAACCGATTTTGTAGATATAAAATTCGAATAATTTTTCTTCTGCGTTATAGTGACTTACTTAATATTATTTCAAAATTAAAATTATGTAGGCCCTTTTGAAAATTTACTGTATGTATTTTCTTTACAAGACTTGTGTTTTAATAATGTGTTTATCAGAATGTAAACCAGATTAAAAGCTAGATTTTGTTCATATAAAAACTAATTAACTAAGCTTTAAACCAAAAGGCTTTAAACAGCATACATAATTTTCCGTAAGTAAATACCAAAAAGTTAGGAATAGGCTTAGTGGGTCAAAAATCAAAATAAAGCTAAAATTAAAGATAACAGTTTTTTTTTCAAAAACGCCTCATTAATAACTTTATTTTACGCCTACAAATTGTGATTTTCACCTATTTATTATTCGATATTTTTGTAGAGTTTTAAATTCTAAATATAAGTGTTTATGAAATTCTTTAATAAAATCAGCCATTTTTAGTAGTTTAATTTATAAAAATTGAAATGGCCGCTGCTTTGTGTTAAAAATATCTTACAATGATAATTATTTCTCTTATAGCTTTTGAACTGTTTTAATCGTATACCAAATATCGATATAGAAATACACAAAATTGTCCATGGCTAATTAATATTACATAGAAACTATACAGTATTGATCTAAATTATGTTAACTATAGAAACTTGTACAATATCTCACATAGAAAATCTTAACACTTAACTACTTTTCTGTAATATGGAGTAACTTCAAGGAAATTTCTTTTTCATTCCAGTGAATACTGTAAATTTTTAATAACAATTAATTTTGAGAGAAATCTCTTACTCACAATTTGTATAACTGAGTACAAATACACAGACAGGGCCGGCTTGATATATGAGCCATGCAGCCTTTCTGTGACCATTCTTCTAACTTCATTATATACCAAGGTTGCAGCTTTTGTTTACAACAACAATCCCAGATCTCCTGACACTCATAGGAAGAGCATTAGAGCTCTGAGCTTCCTCTGGTGTAATTATAAAAGCCCTCGAGCTCACGCTGAGCTTTTGTAATTAATTCAGTCTTAGAATTAATGTGTCAGACTCGACAACTTTTCTTTGATTATTCTTTCTGACCTTGTATAACATCTTTTAATATTTGGTTTGGGTTTGCTTTGTTTTGCAAGTATTTTTACCTAAAAATAGTTTAGGGTGTGAATTCTAAATATTTTAAATATGCTAGACGTTATAAGGGTGTTGTGAATTGAATCCTGATTTTGAATAGATTTTCAAGTTTCGAATTTGCGTTTAAAATATTTTGAAAATAACAAGGTTCCTTGCTATTAAGTAAATTATGTGTTTCCGCTACAGTGGTATTCCATAAAAATTTTACGATTTAATTTTGTATTATTATTTTCAGTGTAGTTATGTATTATAAATTTGGATATAAAAACAAGAAAACTTAAAAAATGTATAAAATATGTTTTTAATGTTTTGTTAAAGTTATCAAATTTTAAATTTTTATTTAAAAAATTAAAAAAGAAATATGATTATAAACTATTATTAAATAAACACTTCACCAATATTTTGTTATTTTTTATTTCATGAGGCCTTTGTGAAAATAATAAGGTTACTTACAATTAAGTAAATTATGATAATACTAAGCTAGAGTGGTATTTCATAAAACATTTAAAAACTTAATTTTTAATTATTACTTTCAACGTTGTTATGTATTTAAATTTGGGTACCCTATTAAAACAATAAAACCTTAAAATAGATATAAAATATGTTTACTTGACAATTTTTATGGAGTATCAAACAGATTTTAGAAAAGCTATCAAATTTTAATTCAGAATAAAAAAAGTAATATGATTAAAAATTATTATAAAGTAAATGCTTTACCAATTCTTTTTTATTTCACTAGGCCTTTTTGCCAGATATGCTGGGATCTTCAGACACATCACAAGAACTAACAATTTATTTAGTCTATATAATAAACAAAAAAAAATATTTTGTTATTTTATACACTTATCATAAATTAAAAAGAAATATCTCTACTTCTGTGAACCAAAAGGTTTATTTTCGTTGTTTTATATAAATTTGTAAAGACTTTTAAAATACTTTAAAGGTACCTATTGAAACAAATTAATTCTACTAACTTATTGAATAAAGATTAGAATTATCGTTAAGAAATATTTTTTGATATTTTAATTATAAAAAAACTATCATTCAAACTAGTGTGAAGTAAGGCGTTGATTTTGAGTTTTTTATTTGTTATAATTTGCAGCAACTATAAAAACTATAACTATAAAAATTTATGATCTCCAGTTGCCTAAAACAATTAGACCTAGTTGTAAAGAGTTGTCGTATGGAAATTAATTAAATATTTAAGAGAAACTAGAGGTTGGTTTCAAATTGTTATGAAAATAATGTGATGAAATATATTAAATCCCTACTATTATTGTGAATCAAGAAATTGTTTTTACTATTTTTCGTTTCAAATAATTATATAGTGAAATAATATATCTAAATATTCATATGAAACAAGAGGTTGATGAATGCTAACATGTGTCATGATAAACTGATCACTGTCCGCTCATATTGCATACATGCATATATTGTACATGACAGCTTGATGTATGACATTTACAAGTACTAACAGGAAATTTATGGCAGCATGTCCACATCAATTATGTTTTAACACATTGCTGCTTGCATTGTTTTCAAGTCTGTTTCAAGTCTTTGCGATATTTGCATAAAGAAATAGATTTTTTAATAATACTGGTGTTGAAGTAATGGTGTGAAACTAAATAGGCAGATTTTCTGTATTTTCTTAGTAAAGCCTCTTTGCACTTTTGGTATATCTCTAGAAGAGATATATTATGACTTTGCCGGGAAAAAGTAGCCCCTTTTTTCCAGTCCTGTTAAATTGTACATACACATTCTTATCATGCTTACTATCATAGATTAAACATGCACCCTACGTAGATAATCCAATAAATGACAATATAATATTTACTACACAAATGTTTAACATTGTCTTATCCATTGTAAGATTTGGCCTCTAAGATGTACACTGTTTGTGAACTAACATTATAATTATTATTAACAAATATTTTATCCCTCCCGAAGCTGTGAATTGAGCATCGATCTCCTTTACTCAAAAACATTTTAAGCTTACCTTTCAATATTTTATCCTGTCAATATTAATTATCATGTATATTTTTCAGGAGTGTTGGAAGAGCCGTTTAATGATCTTGACTGTTCAGCAACAAAAAAGGCCAAAGTGTTTTACAAATCCTGCATGGATATACGTAAGTAAAATTTACGAAAAAGCTATAAACTCCAATACAAATGTTGATTCCCTGATATGCCATTCATTTTTTTTTTTTTAAACATACACTGTTATTACAAAAAAATAAACTTGAACCTATCAAACCATATCTTCAAGAAAAGCCTTTCATAATTCCCTCTGTATGAAGGTCCTTTAACATTTAAGCGTCTGAGGCTGACATTATATGCCATCAGGAACTTATTCAGAAAACAAAAGAGTCAATTAAAACAATTCATTTAAGAGTAACCATAAAAAAATCTAATAACTCAATAAACCCAGTTCAAAACTGTCATTGGCATGCGCAGCATCAGAAAACAAGAATCAACTAAAATACTCTTCCTATTTGGGTTTACAAGTAATTATTGTAGACCATTTAATCAAACCAATGGTCAAGTGGGTAAAGGCTGACAGCCTTCAGGCAGTTATATTAGCTTTGTGTCTAGGATTTTCTTGGTTCAAAATACATAATAATACTTCCTTAAGCTTGTAGTTTTACTCAATGTTAAACAGTCTACAATGATTATATTTATGACTAAAATGGTTTATTGAAAATATTTAATTTCTATAATAATAAAAGTAAATAGTAAATTATGAAATAATGGTTTAAAAATTTGGTTTTCCACAAGTTTTGGATATGAAAACTGTATTTCTTTAAAGAACATTTTCTACCTTATATTAAAATTTTTTGTTGGAAGTAGTAGTGTATTATCATGGATCACTGAACTCTCCGTTTGAATATTTTTATTTAACTACATTTTAATCTCTTTTGAGATTTCTGAAAGTGATTTGATTGTTTTGAAGCCAAGAAGTATTTTAATTCTTCACAGATCTTGGTGTGTATTGGTAAATGATGGCGAGAACAAAAGCTTCAGATCCTTTTGTGCGAGACACAATGGCTGTTGAAATTAATGAGTTTCCTATTTAAAAATTCTCTTCAACTTGTCAAATTGAATGTTGTTAACTCCTTTAATTAGAGAGCTTACGTTCATTGAACAACTGCTGAAGTTAAAAGGCTCTATTTAGAATCAAACGCAACTTCTGACAATACAACAGTAGTTGACCTTTTAGGAGTACCTTCATTATAAATTTACTCTAGATAGATAGTTTAAAGACGGCTATTGTAAGTTCAGGGCTATTCAGGGCTGTACCCAGCTTTTTCAGGCCCTGGTAAAAATATTAGGCTAGATCACCCCTCCCCTTGAAGTATAGGTTCGGCGGAGGGGGCCTGGGTCCCGGTAAAATTGTCCGGAAAAACCGGTCTGGGTACAGCCCTGTGTAAAAATAAACTGTAATAGTATGAAAACACATTACACTTCTTTATAACTTTTATTTATGTTGAGTTCCTTATTAAGTACAGAATTTACCTTTGAATCCCAGGTTGTAATATCGTTGATTAAAAATGGCTCTTTTGCTATGTAGTTAATGTGTAATTTGATGGTTTAGAGTAATGTAATGTTTGAATTAAAACTTTAAACTATTGTAGACATTCTTGTAAGAATCCGGATCACTTGAAAGTGGCTTGATTTAAATAAAAGGGAAATTGAGTATAATTACAGTCTGCTAAAGGTAATCCAATGATATAGAGCAAATAGCTTTGACGCCCAATCACATAATCGATGCCATCTACTCAAGGTATACAAAAAAATTCTTTATCTCAACGTCTTTTGCTGAAGACTGCCGAGAACCATAGGACCTAGCATTCTAGGATGTAAAGTTGGAACAAAACATGCAAAATGTCTTCGATTGTTGCAGAACAAATCCGCAAGTACAGTGACGAGCCGCTGCGGGATGTACTGTCTCGTCTAGGTAGTTGGCCGGTGGCTGTGCCGGACTGGCATCCGCCGAACATATCTGTGGAAGTGCTACTGGGTCGACTGCGAGGAGACTACAACGAGGGCGTCCTCATAGAACAGTGGGTCGGACCTGACGACAAGAACTCTTCAGTGAACATCCTTCAGGTGCGGACAAAGTAAGGGTCTCATGCAGGCGGAAAATAGCAAAATGATAAAAACTGAAACACTAAAGGGAGGAAAATAAAAACACTGCAAAAGTCAACAACAAAAGTTTCAAACGTAAATGCAAAACAACAAAATCACAAAACAAACCGCAACGCAACAAAAAATGTAATGTTAAAAACCAAAACAAATTCAAGACAACAAAGAACATGTAATGCAAAAGAAATTAACTACAAACTTGAAATAAAACCAAAAAGAACTAAGAGTGTAAAAGTAAAATTGTCCTAAAAAAAAATACAAAACCCAAAAGTAAATAATGACAAAATTTTTACAAAATATATACTAATAAAATTGTTCTGGCATAATAAATTAATAATTAGGTTTATCAGCCATCTTAAGTTTTTCTTAACTAACTCATTAATTTAAAAACTGAATGTAGGCAGGAATGCTTGGAATTGCTTGTATTGTATAATACCTTTATCAAATTTGTAACTATGTATCTTCATAAAACTCAACCCCCCCCCCCTCTCTGTACAGAGAAATTTGTTTTGATTGAATTACACACTGACACAGAATAAGCCTCATCTAGCGTTTTGATTGTTTTAATGCATATAAATTGAAGATGAGAGAAGTCTGTTATACAAAATTAGTAGTTATCCTAATGTTTGGTGTATCAAAAACAACATTCAAACATGTATAATTAAAATTGCCCTTATTAAATTTTTATTCAGCTATAGATCAATTTGTGACTGATTAATCTTTGAATCATTAATTAACATTAAATAATTGTTGAGAGTATTTTTAAATGTTCCTTCAAAGAGCTTTCAATAGGGTAAGACATCAACAGACATAGAGAAGTTATGCTATCATGACGTGTTGATGAAAATAGTCTGACAATTTTAAACTGTAATTCGTAAGATTGACATTTTATATAACAATACCATTGACTATACAGGGTGGCTGAAAAGTAACTTACATCCCCCCTTAACTTTTCAACCATTTGAGATATTCGAAATATTGTTTGCGGCAACCTTCTTAGATATGAAGGGCTACAATAATTATGGTAAATTTCGAAAACTTTGCCCTTAGAGGTAGTGGGGGTAGGGGGTAGCTCAAAATTTTCAAACGACAAGTATAGTCGAGTTTGGTATCATTTGACAGGTCTTGACGAAACAAAACAATTGACATAAAAAAAACAAAAATCGGCCCACTAATAACAAAATTGCTAAAACATATCAAATCCAAATAACCATGAGGGTGGCTGAAAATTAACTTGCACCCCTCTTTGTCTTTTTAACTATTTGTGATATTTGAAATCGGTTTGGGTTTAGATATGAATGGCTACAATAATAATGGTTAATTTAAAAAATTTTGCCCTTAGGGGTAGGAGGGGTTTGGGGGTAGATTAAAATTTTCAAACAGGAAATATGGTTGAGTTTGGTATCATTTTACAGGTCTTGACATAACTAAACAATTGACATAAAGAAAATTAAAATTGGACCACTAAAAAAAAAATAACAATAAAAAATTACTTTTAATAACCATTGTCTTAATCATTTTTAGCTGCCATTTTGTTATTAATGGTCCAATTTCTATTTTCTTTATGTTCATTGTTTAGTTTTATAATTCAAACCTGTAAAATGATACCAAACTCGACCATACTTCCTGTTTGAAAATTTTAAGCTACCCCCAAACCCCACTATCCCTAAGGGCAAAATTTTTAAAATTTACCATCATTATTGTACCCCTTTATATCGAAACAGGTTGCCGCAAACCGATTTCAAATATCTCAAATAGTTAAAAAGGTAAAGGGGGGAGCAAGTTAATTTTCAGCCACCCTCATAGTTATTTGGATTTGATACGTTTTAGGGCGCCATATTAGTAGGTCGATTTTTGTTTTCTTTATGTCAATTGCTTTGTTTCGTCAAGACCTGTCAAATGATACCAAACTCGACCATACTTGCCAATTGAAAATTTTGAGCTACCCCCTACCCCCGCTACCCCTAAGGGCAAAATTTTCAAAATTTACTATAATTATTGTAGCCCTTCATATCTAAGAAGGTTGCCGCAAACTGATTTCGAATATCTCAAATGATTGAAAAGTTATGGGGTGGGTGCAAGTTACTTTTCAGCCACCCAGCCAGCCAGTTCTTAGTACTGTATAATGAATAGGTAGCTGTAGTAAGTTTGTCTACTTATTAAACTGATAACAGTTCATTTAACACTCATGGTGAGTAAAGATTTATTTTGCTTCTTTGGCAAAGGTGTCTTGTATAATCAATGGTCCTCTACTACTACCCAGTATTCATACCCTGGAGATCAAATCTGCCGTCAATGGTCTTCTTTACCACACGGTTTATTGTATTATCCCAGTTTCAAGATCTTTCATTTTATCAGCTATGCACATTTTTGTTGCCTGTGTTGTTGAGCTATAGTAGTTTGTATATCTCGCTATGCACATTTTGCCAGCTTGTGAGTTGTAAGGCATCTAGGCAACTTCAGGAGGTCTCTTATGCTGTCTTCATCGCTATCACTACTGTCTATTATTTATTTATAAAATATTTAATGGCAACAAACCCCCAGACCAAAAACCTGGAAAGCGGTTAAACATCCCCAGTCCAAGAAATTAAATGTAAGAAAAATACCTCTTGCCAACATGACTCTGTTGTGCTGCATCACTGGGCTCGATCACAATAGTTGTCAAATTCATATTCTGCAGGTTTCAACTATAGTCAATGGTCTTGTATTCTCAACTGTTGTGTTCATTCTTTGGCATGGTGGAAGGAAAAAACATAGGTGTGCTATTCCCACATATTCTGACGTCACTCGGATTGCAAACAAAAGATCATCTGATTGTAACTGTCAAATTTAGTATGTATTTGTTTTTATTTGATTGTTATTGTTTTCATAATAATAAAAACAATAACAGCCAAATCAAAACAAATACATATACTGATTTGACAGTTATAATCAGATGATCTTTTGTTTGCAATCCGAGTGACGTCAGAATATGTGGGAATAGCACACCTATGTTTTTTCCTTCCACCATGATTCTTTGGGGGGGAGGGAGGAGGGGTACAATCCATAGTCAATCTCAACTCCAATTATTGCATGTTTCAAATCAAATCAATCACTGTTACAGCTAGACCAGATGACCTTGGCTCTCCCCAGTAGGGATTACTACCTGAAGCAAAGCAGTGAGGCGGACTATCTCGGAGCGTACCATCGCTACATGACGGAGGTCGCCGTTCTACTAGGAGCCGACCCCACCACTGCTGCGGTCGAGCTACAACAAGTCATACAGTTTGAGAAGCGTTTGGCTAACGTGAGTCAGTAGAATTTAGTCAAATGTGTCTTTTTTACCATTTTTAGTCAAGGTGATTTCGTAATTTCTTTTATCAATGTTTCATAAGAGGATCCTGTGCAAATTCAGGAAATACCAGAAATGCCTGTCTCATTAGGTGAGAAAAGTCCATAAAATGGAGCGAAATAAAAATTACCCTTGCTCATATTATTGAATAGAGCCTGCAGGTGAGCTACAACGCTAGTAGGTGTATTATATGTGTATATGGTGTTATACGGTGTATTATTTGGTGTATTTTATGTTAGTAGTTAATGACTATGTTTTGAGTGGCGTCATTTATTATACACGTCAGAGGATAAAAGTGGTTTAAAACATACTCTTTTTAGTGTTAAGAAAGTAAATTCAATTTTAAATCACTCAAAAAGGTACTGAACACACCCAACTTTAAGTGGTTCGTTCCTGTCTGGGGCAGGCTACCAGAAATATTTCAGGGCCGTTTTTCCTCAGTCCTCCTCTCAATATCACTCTGGTCTTACTAGACATACTGGTTGGATGTTGGGAAGGTTTGGATTCAAATCCCTCCAAGCACTATTAGTAGCTATGTGACCCGTAGTGCTCTGTCTAACAAGTAAAAATTAATATCTTAGACTAAAAAAGCTTTTACTAGATTCCCTCTTTAAAAAAATGTTCATAGTGAAACATAACTACAAAAAACACCTAAAACGGGGCCGTATTTAGAATATATGAGAAGTCTGAAAGCATAAAAGATCAATGGTGAGACAACACGGATTGATGGAATAATTATTTTGTCTGCATTCGATAAGATTTGTTTAGCTTTAGTTTTTTATTTTTAACCTAGGCATCTCTGCCAGAGGCGGACCGTCATGACACCAGCTCCATCTACCGCAAGTTGAGTCTTGCCCAGCTGCAGGCGGAGGTACCTCAGATTAACTGGCTCGAGTACCTCACGTCGTTTCTGGACGCAGACATCACAACCGAGGAAATGGTGGTGTCCTACGCAATGCCGTACTTTGTGGAGATGGGGAAAATCCTCGCTGACACTGATCGCAGGTGAAATAAAGGAATAGTTTGGGCACGGCGGTGTACAATACTACATCATCTTTAATTATCACCCATGTTTAAATTATTTGGTCAATATTATACAACAGAAGTTAGAATCAATCCTGGGAGAAATCAGTTGCTCATGTTTCAAAACTGGACCCAGCTGTCTTTGATCATTATAATAAATTAACCAGGTGACTAATAAAACAGCTGTTCTTAGAAAATTTCAAAGCTACACAGAGATAATCTCTTTCACTCTATACTCGCCTTGCATTCATAGATCAGCTTAAAAAAAGGAACCCAAGTGTGGGTCACCGTCTCAAAGAATTGATGACTGATATATATTAATAAGAATTTGTGAATCACACCACATTTCAACTTACAGGGTTATCCACAACTACGTGATGTGGCGTCTAGTCATGGACATTGTCCCGCACATGATAGACGAGTACCAGCAGAAACACACCGAGTTCCGCAAGATTATGCAAGGCATCCAGTCTGAACGCAATCGCTGGTCACAATGTGTTGACTGGACGAACAAGAAGCTAGGAATGGCGGTCGGAGCACTCTACATACGAGACAACTTCAACCAGGATAGCAAGGTAATTTGATTGAGTTTAATATCATCTTAGTAAAAAGAACCATAACAAACAATTCAAGATACTCATCGGCGTATGTAAAGGGGGAAGGATGGTTTGCGATTGTATAAATTGAATGAATGCTTTGTAATAAGTGGTTACAGTGCACAATAAATATTGCCTGCTGGCTATTCTGGGGTTTCAGGTTCAATTTTTAGAAAAGTGACAAACATTTTTAAGGTTTCAAATTTGACCCAGCTGTCCTTGTTTATAGGGATTTAATAAATTATCCTAGCTGAAGGAACAGCTGATCTCATTCTGTAACATATGTACACAGATACAGAGCATCCATGTCAATCTACACTCACCTTACAATCAGAAAGATTTCCTTCAAACTTTTCCACTATTTTGAATGGTAATAGAACGAGTGTCCAACTATTGTTTTGTATTCAGATTTTAAAAACATACTAATTTCTAACATGCCACTTTGATCAGCTAACACATTTTTCTTCACTCCGCTAACTAACTTTTCCGTGCAGGAGGTGGCGCTGGCAATGATACATACTATCCGGGAGGCATTTAACGAGCTGCTTGCCGAGAACCACTGGATGGATGACGAGACAAGAGCTGTTGCTAAGGAGAAAGCGGACGCAATGAACGAGAGAATAGGATACCCAGAATTGCTGACCGAACCTGATGAACTCAACAAGGAGTATATTAGGGTGAGACAAGTGTTTAAAGTAACTTTGATGTTCATGAAGACTTTGAAATAGACTTTAGATTTGAATGTAGACTTATTTTAAATTTTACTTTTAAAAAGTAGGTACCAGTACTGAATGAAACAAAATACACCAAATAATCAAATGTGTGACCTTTTGAACTGAAATCTTTTTACAATTTTCAGATTCAAAATGTTGAAAACTAAGGTAGTTTGTTAAAACTAGTTAGAACTATAGTCTTTTCACAAAATCTAGATGGTTTAAGGGGGAGGTTTTTTGGGTTCCCCAAATACTAGTTGATCCTAATATATATATATATATATCAACTGATCACCTTTTGGCTGTGGTTTTGAAGCTGGGGTAAGGTGGAGGGAATGGAATCGCTTCCCCTCAAACCGCCTAAATTTTCAAAACAAAAGAAATACCTACCCCGCTTTAATGTAATATCTGTTTAAATTGAAACACTTAGTATTCAAATATATATTACAATGCAAATAGTGCTTGCCTGGTAATCAAAAGGTGGCCGGTTCGATCATGAAATAAATTGTTTAATGATGGTCTCTGGGCAACAACCATGTCAAGTAAAATTTTGATTTGTCATCAGTGAGGAAATCAAGTCCCTCTGTGTTGAGGCTAAAACGGCAGTGAAAAATGAACGCCTGAAGACGACGTTTCTTGGATTAAATGTATTCTTCATTATTTTAGTTTTGATGTTTATCGGACGTTTTTCCAGCTAAACGTAACAGAGGATCAGTTTCTGACAAATATCTTCAGCGTGCTGAAATACGACGCTTACCACAACTTACAGAAGCTACGTCAGCCCGTCAACAAGGATAAGTGGTCTACGGAGCCAGCTATAGTAAATGCTTTCTACAACCCCAACAAGAATGATATTGGTAATCATATTATCACTAGATGATGCATGTTAGATGATGTATGGAGAAGCACCAGTCATAAGAGTTGTCTGTAAATCAAATTCTCCAACAACTTTTAAACCAAAGTAAGCTAGTTTAGATCTCATCTTTTATTTTAGCAAGTTTCCATCCTTAGTGATGATGTCTTGTCATAATAGCCGTCATAATTTTGCTAAACCTTCATTATTGGCTATGGTGAGTTTGTGAATAAAATATTGCAGAAATTTTCCATCACAATGTTAATATGGATCTAAAATCTGATCTCGTCCTCATTTGAGAATGTACTAAAAATGTAAGAAGATTAGTACAAAAACGCAGCCAAAGCTTGAAAAACACAAATAAAACAACACATACAATTCTATAGTAGTCAAACAAAACAAAAACCTAAAAGCCCTTGGATAAGATGTTATTTAGTAGTAACAAACGAGATTGAATCTGAGTTTTCCTAGGCGCGGAAGCAGAGTGCGGAGAGAGGAATGCGGAGAGCGGACTCATTTTGTCTTAGGTAATCTAATGTTACTGTTTTCCTAGAAGCGGAGCAGAACACCATGTTTTTCCGGTCCCAACCATCGCTTTTCCGCTCTCCACTCTCCGCTCTCCTCTTCCGCATCCAGGAAAACCCGGCTTTAAGAGATCATTTTGGATTGAAAATGTATACAATCGAATCGGATTTCCAAAGCTGGTTGTGATCATCTATCAATAAAAAAGTTAAAACAAAGTATTTTATTTCAGTGTTTCCAGCTGGCATCCTTCAGCCCCTGTTCTACAGTCAACATTTTCCAAAGTCTCTAAACTACGGAGGGATCGGAGTCGTGATAGGACACGAAATAACTCATGGCTTTGATGATAAAGGTTTGTCACCAAATTTGTTTTGTATTTATAACAAGTTATCTAGTATTGTGTTTATGGTTCAGCACCAATTAAGTTTAAGAACAGTTAATTTTTTTGGACCTCGTTTCGGAAGCTTTGATTCAGCTTTGAACAGATTCTAAGATTTGTGACAAAAGTTAGTTATCATATGAAAAATAATTATGGTCCAAACCAAGGCTACACTAAAAAAACAGGCTGTAATGCTCGTCAAGCATGACGTCACGATAGAAGACGTCAATGACGTAGGTATTTATTTATTTATTTCCAAGGAAAGATTAAAACAAGCAGTTGACCACAAACGGCAAACATTACGTCATTGCAGTCTTCTTGTGACGTCATGCTTGACGAGCATTACAGCCTGTTTTTTTTTAGTGTGGCCTTGTCCAAACTCCAGCCCAAAACCTGGAAACCCAAGGATTTGTTTTCAGTCACCTTTCCCTACGTTAGATTTTTAAAGGAAAGATCTCTTGTACTTATTAAGGATAATATCCAGGAAGAAGGAATGAAAACACAACAAAATATTTACCTTCCGGGCTTCTCCATAGGGATGTAGAAAAAAGTTCCATTCCTAACCTGAAGCCCCCTAAGATTTTATCCTGGTGCCTCGGGGACCAAAAGTCTCCCACTCTACCTCTAGGCCAGCTTACTTCCTAAACTATAATAGCAACATGTAAAGTGTCATCGAGAAGTTTCCAAGTATGTTCACTAACAAGTAACCTAATAAATTGCAGGAAGACAATTCGACAAGGATGGAAACATGATGCAGTGGTGGAACAACGCAACAATCCGAGAGTTTCGAGAGCGAGCGCAATGCTTCATCGACCAATACAACCAATACAAGCTTGACGAGGTGGATCAGTTTGTCAACGGACGAATGACTCAGGGAGAGAACATCGCAGACAACGGAGGGTTGAAACAGTCTTACAGGGTAGGTTGTGGTGGATTAGGTAATGTAGAGTTAGTGAAATAGGATCTTTATGAAAAGATATAGGAGGGCTGTTAGTATGAACATTGACCATATGGAAAAGAAGGTTGGTTGTGTCTCGTTTGTATCTGGAAATGGTCCATATAGATGGGATCGACTTCAGTATCTGCAGAAGTCAATGGTATAAGTAACATGAAAAATCAGAGATATATTGCAAAAAACCATTCTTTTGCATTATGGACTCATCGTCTATAGTCCGTTTACAAAATTTAGGTGGTTTAAGGGGAAGTTCCTCTACCCATTTTTTTGCTTAATAATGTACATAGGTACCGGTATTGCAGCTGATTGACCTTTTGACAAACCTCAGCTGTTGAGTTATTGTTTTAGGTAGATTACGTAGAGGGGATAGATCCCCCCCCCCAACCTACAACCTGTTTCTCCAGCTGGGGTGGAACACTGAAAATGTATAATAAACACTAGTGGCTTGTAGGGACATAAAGTCCCTAAAGCGCTCAAGTGTAAAATAAATTAAGAATTATAAATTAACTTACGATATTCAGTTATAACTCAGTTGAGTATCTATTTCACAGGCTTACCGCAAATGGGTGTCCAAGTATGGCGAAGAGCCGTTGTTGCCCGGCATCAACCTATCTCACGATCAGCTGTTTTTTCTCAACTACGCTCAGATCTGGTGTGGGACGATGCGACCGGAGGATGCTTTGACCAAGATTCGATCAGCTGTTCATTCTCCTGGACCGATCCGTGTGATCGGACCTCTCTCCAACTCTAAGGACTTTGCGAGCGCATACAAATGTCCACAGGGATCTCCGATGAACCCGTTGAAGAAATGTTCAGTTTGGTAAATGTTTGTCTCAAGAACGGAGTATATCTCTATGTTGTTCAAGTTCACTGTTGATCAAAGCCTGATCGGTCAGGCTCTTGCGATTGATAAGATTTGGATCAGATAAGTAGGTCACCAGTAATCAATGTAGTGTTACATCACATTACATTGAAGGTGGTTAGGAAATGTCCTTACATTTACGCTTACAACTTTTTTTTATCTGTTACCCAGCTGTTTGTTGATACTTTTCAATTGGAAATCATGGATTAATGATAAATTATGTTGAAAATCATTATGATACAATTTAACTTTCATTTCCCCTGCTCTGCAGTTATTTTAATTTTTTATTACTTGCAATTTCTGTAAACATATATTTTGAATGATGGGATTTTTACCTCTAGAGTTTTTTTTATTTATTTAAAACTTAAAAATATAAAAAGGACTTTTAATATGTCAGTATTAATGGTATACTTTGTACAAAAACACAAGTTATTTATTCCCACTATTTTTTTAAAAGGTTTATTTCAATATTGGTTTTAGGAAACAGTCAATATTGTACACAGAAATAAATAGCATTGATCTATTATGCTACAAAAATAAAAAAATGTGTAAACATGTAAGAATTTGTAAATATAACAATGAAAAAGTGTAAAAATAACAAACAAAGAAGTATGTCCCCTTAGTAGGTAAACCAAGGAAAACAGATGGTTAGGTATTTTTTTCGTTTGAAGTTTTTCCCATTTGCAGCCAAGTAAAAATCCTATAACAAAATAATTATTTATGCTCTTTTTTGTACCTGGTATTAGATTCTATTTGATTGGTTTTTTTATCACACAATTTCATACTTGTGACAGATATGTAAATTTAACCATCAAACAAATCAATGTTGGACTAACAAATTCGTCATCAATATTATATTTAATATTATTTTTTTTTATCTTAATTTAATTATTCAAAGTTGAAATTGTAACAGTTAATTACTTCATGTTTAAACCTAGAGATGCACAGTTCTCAAACTTTTGAGAAATTCGTGAGGTTAAAAAAACTTGTTAGTTCAAGTGAGATTGACTTTGCTCCACGACTTTTTCGAGGCGAGATTATTACATAGGAAACGCAACAACAACGTGCTCCTGTATTGCGGGTACGGCAGAGACTTTTGAAGGAGGTTTTTAACTGTACACATCTCAAAAATCTGTAAAACAGGTTTATCCGGTAATTTGTTTATCCTTTATAACCCTGGTCCCGTAGGGGATGTAATAGGTTTCACTGTATATGTTATCATTTTCACTGTGATCAGAGCTACTATAATCTGTCATCTCTTATAGACTACTTTTGTTGTGATACAGTTAGTTGTGGTGTGCATGTTACAGTTTTACATTAAAGATGTCTTATTCTTTTTATTTTTTTCTTATCTATATATATAAAAGGCAAAGCCCTCACTGACTCACTCACTCACTCACTCATCACTAATTCTCCCACTTCCCATTTAACTAGGAGGCTGAAATTTGGTACACTGATTCTTTAGGCATTAAATAGGAAAACTAAGTTGTTTTTATCCTGATCGGACTCTTGGGCTCCGCCCCAGTGGCTCTGGAGTTTCCCATGTTAACCGTATGATTTTTCATATTTAAAAGGAATAAATGAATCTTAACAGCTGTTTCAATTAAACAAGTTGGTTCTATTTTATGATGTTCAATAGCATTTTAGTTACAAGGATTACCAGCAGGGTGCAGCACTATTATTTTTTTAATTCATGACAACAGCTAATTTGCAACCAAAAGGTGAGTGAGCGTAGCGAACGAACTTCAACCTGGAGGCGAGTTAGCGTAGCAAACGAGCTAACCTGAAGGCAAGTGAGCGCAGCGAACGAGCTCCAACCTAAAGGTGAGTGAGCGTAGCGAACGAGCTCCAACCTAAAGATGAGTGAGCGTATAGCGAACGAACTTCAACCAGGACGTGTGAGCGCAGCGAGCGAGCTCCAACCTAAAGGTGAGTGAGCGTAGCGAACGAACTTCAACCAGGACGTGATTGAGCCATGCGAACGAGCTCACGTATGAAGTTAAACGGGGCAAAGCCTGCGGGTACAGCTAGTTAGTAATATTTTTATAAATACAGTATTTAGCCAAAATAAACATTGCTGAAATGGTAACAGCTTATTCTTTTTCAGTATGTTTATTTAGACTAATACTGCTTTTAAGTTCCTGTAAGATTTTGTTATTTTGTACACTCTTTTTGTATCAACCTTTGTAATAAATTATTAGTTAATTACTTTAGTTGTTGTTTTACTAATGCTTTATTGTTATTTTTAACCATTGTGAACCGAATAATTCTCAATAGTGAGATCCATAATCTTGTCCGAGTTATGATGAGAAAAAAATCTAATAATTGTAGTAAATAATTGTTTTTGTTTACAAATTAGGGTTTCCTACCCAGGCTAACCTTGGCGAACTGATTTATTATTTATAATGTAAAATAAGTAAGTTTGAAGATAAACCTGTTGAGTAAAATAAAACCCCACCTTGAAATGGTTTTTTTTACAATTTACTAAACAATTTAATTGTCAGGTACAGTGGTTGGTTGTATATACAAAATTTTAACCTAATATTGTCTACATGTTAACTTGTGCTATCATTTATTAAAACTAAAACCGTTTTGGAAAATAAAATATGTTTGTTTGAATTTGTGTTTCTATATAACGATGGAGCGTCTTTAAAAGAAAGTATATATTATACTGTAGAAAGTGAAATGTCTTGCGTATAAATGTATGAAATAATTAATAATCTTTTAGATTTTATATGTTTTTAAAATAAATAAATACCATTACATTTGTACTATACTAGTAATTCCACCTAGAAAGTATAAGTAATATTGTAAATATACCATACTGGACAGAACAGTAATAAATGAAATTGTTTGACAGAACATATTTGAGGTTTGCTAACATGATTTTAGAGGCACATGATGAAACGGTTTACTTGCATTTTGTACATAGTCTAGAGGGGGATCAGGGAACAAACTGAACAGGCTGTAGGACTTTACGAAGATGTGATATGATTTGTACAAAATTATCACTTAGATAGAAATATATTGGTGTACCATTCATAAACACATTACATGTATAAGGACTTCTGTTCACTTTAAGCTAAGATTCTATTTCCATATATTTCGTTGGTTTCTAGCTTATTTCGCCCAAAATACAAGTTCATAGTCTATTTCAATTTAGTTTGTTTCTTGTTAATTTTATGCAGAGAAAATAATTCCCATAGTACCTGCACTGCATTGTTAGCAGCTTAATCCTTGACTAGAAGTTGTTTGTGAATTTTTATTGGGCAAATAATTTAAAAATAACTCATCAACTTTAATTGATCAAGTTTATAAAACACCAGCTCAGAATATTGATTTGAATATTAATAACTAATACGTTAATAGTAATAAATGTTTTGAAATTTTATAAAGACCCATTTTTTAATCTTTTAGTCATGTTTTTGTTAATCTGGCTATCATTCATATAAACTGATGTTTAATACAACAATTTTAAATATAGAAAAAAATCATTTGTTGTGTTAAAAATATTTGAAAGAACAAAAAAATGGGTTGCTTTGTACTTTAATTTCATAACTTATGGTGAACTTATTATCCTTAAGATTGCATTTAAAAGAAATAAAGTATTTATGATTTTCTATTTTAGTAGTAATTTCTTTCTAACGTCTGTAAAAGTTTGAAAAATATTGTTTATCAAGAGAAATTTTGAGCAACTGTAGCAAAAGATGATGTACACACAACTTCATTTTTAATTTATAAGTGTGGTATTAATGTACAGTAAAGCACATAAATGTAGATTTCTTTGCCAAAATAAAGATAAGATAGAACATGAGTTGTAAAATATATTAAATCATAAGGTTACATTTTTATATAATATTTTATAATGACTCGGTGTTGTATAGGTATCTAACCCAAATTATCTTTATTATGCTTATTTATTAGATATAGGAACATTATTGTAAGATCTGACAGGTCAGATCCTGTTTTCACACAGATATAACAAAAGAAAGATAAAAATATGTATGAAAGTTAATAGGATCCAATTAACACTCTTAATTCTAACAAGTTCTAGTCTTTTTTGTAAAAGATTACTGTATATTAATAAGTTTAGTTTTGATACATTTCTGTTAATCTCATTTTTTTCTTCACAATTCTTCAACCCAACCTATTTCACTTGCTATACCATTTTTATTTTCACAATTAATTAATTAGTTAACTCGCAATACCTAAATAATAAAGTTTAATAAAATATTACCATACTGATTGCAAAAATTTCCAATAAACCCAAAATTTACTGAAATATGTGAATTTGAATGTCTGCATAAAAGATTAAAATCTTCTTCATTGTTTTATTGGTTATAATTATACAAGTATTTATTCACATTTTAAGTACCTATTCATTAGTGAAATTCACAAGTACAAATTGAGTTCTTTTATGTCACGTCAAAATTACATTTAAAAAGTGAAAACAGGATGGCCATTGTATATTGTAAACTTGTAGTCTACCCAACATAACTTAAAGGTTCTATATTTGTACAACTTTACCTAACTTAACCTTTCCTTAGTGACATTCTAGCAGGGCCAGCCCTAAATGTATCCTTTCCAAACTATTGTTTTTGTAGATATAAGCACAATAGGACATGTGCCTTTAAGTATATTCTAATCTCTTCCCTCTAACCCCAAGTCTTCCTTCTTCCTCTTATCTTTACTCCCCAAATTCCTTAGCTATGTGATAAGATTAAAGATTATCTTGTGAAATGTAAAAATTACCTATCTGTTATCCAAGTTATGTATTTTTTGACTTCACCAGGCTAAAATAACAGTATTGTTAATTCACCAATGTGATATGGAGTAAAATACAACATGCTGGGAAAATCCAAATCGGTGTTTTTTTACCTAATCTAACCTACAGGGTTTTCTCAAAAAAATATAATATAAATTTTTATTAAATCTGATATTTTTAGTAACTAAAGTTATAAAAATGAAAGTGGTTGTCATCTTGAAACAACAATATTTTATAATGATTATCTTATATTTTAAAAAATTGTTTTTATTTTCCAAGTTCGTTTGGCTTTTCTACCAGACCCATTTTTATGTTTGAGGTCTCAGATATAAATTTAGTTTATTTTCGAATTCTTACTCCAATTTTAGATTTATTTTACTAGTTATGTAATCCTACTTATTTTGGTCTAAGAACCTTCAGTGAATATCCGCTTTCATTTAAGTTATTAATTATTCAAATCAGACGAATTCAAGCAAACGCAGAACAAACAAAACAACAAACATAACAATTATTTTTATAAGGTTTTTCAATACCTTATGCTGCGGAGCAGCATGGG